CTGGCCATCATGGTAACAGTATTCTGCACACATTGGAGTCCCCTTCGGTAGAGCACATCGACCAGGCTTCACTGCATGGACACAGACAAACGGTGTTCAGTCTCAGATATACTGCACAAAACACTCAAAGCAACATCATTTTACTTACAGAGTGAATTGTACTAAGTATTATTTCATGTTTATTCATTTTGTAAATCCACCCTGTGTCTGGAATAGTGCTATATTATATATAATATGTAAAAATTATTAAATAAAATAAAACACAAACTGAAAGGCAATGGGAAAGCTGCCCCCAAAAAACAAATGAAAAAAAAAATTCCTAACTGAATAACAACATAACATTAAATAATACTTATTATTATAAAATAAGACCGAAACAATATAATATAATATAATATAATATACCTGTATATGGAGCCATACATTCATGTCCACATCCATTGCTGCAGCATTTCTCATTGTTCGGACAGTCACTGTCATTGACACAGAACTCAGCACACATTCCTGCTCCAAATTTTCTGCGTGGACACACTCCTGGCTTTGCTGTTATACAGATACATGACAGAGAAACCATACCACTGCATGCTGAATGCCTTACTGTATATACAGTGGGTACGGAAAGTATTCATATATATATATATATATATATATATATACTATTTCAGCCTTTCAACGAAATGTAATGTTTAATGCAATGTGTTACTTGCTGTTTCTTACTGAAAGCAGGTGGCACACACACAGCCCCGCAGTCAAAGACACAGCATTTGTGTCCTCCAGAGCAGTCTTTATCAGAAACACATCCCGACTGGACGGCACGACCGTCAGCTTCGCCGGACAGTGACCCACCACTACAGAAGAGCAGCATTATAAGAGAGGTCAGGATTCAGCATCTGTAAGTCAGTGGTTTTCCATTATGTGTCTCAAACTTTAATAACATATTCACATATCTGCTTCAAATTGAAGTAGTTCATAAATCTACTATTTATGCCTAAACTGTGTCAGCTAGCTTCAAATACAAGGTGCTTTTACTAGCTACACGTTCAAAAATAATTTTTTGAAGTTGTAAATTGAAGTATGATTATTGGAATATGTTTTACAAGAAAATACTGTTTCAGTCTTTCTACTTGAAAATTTCACATTTAATTCAATACGTTACTTGTTTTTTTGTTTGTAATTATTGGCTGAAATTTACTAGCAATTTCTAAGTGGACATCAATTTATATTTTGTTCATGAATTTACTATTGAAACCAAATGTATGTGTTCAAATGAACTGTTATGCCATCCTCATGGCTGCCATTACAGTATTTCATCTTAAGCATTTTGATTCAAAACAACAATCTTTAAAAAAAAAAGTAGAAACATTTTGAGTTAATAGACTGAATACAATAAACCCACCAGACTTTTACTGAAGAACAAATAGCAGAGTACAGTAGTTCTTTAAAGAGTTAGAAGTTATAATTAAATCCCTTATAGTTAATTATAAGGGAGTTAAAATACAAAACATTTCGAAGAATTTGTTTCCAGGAATGGTGGCATACATCTCTGGTAAAAATAAATAAATCGTAACCATGTTAATATTAATATTCTTGTTTTAGTGTAAAAAAAAAAAAATAATTTAAATAATTTTTTGAGAATTTATGTATTTAATCTGAAATAATGTACATAGTTCACCTTTCGCTGGACGTCTGTAGGCTACTGTATGTCTAATGTCATATTTTGTCAGGTACGTTTATGCATGTCTTCGGGCTGAAGCTAAATGAGCTAAAGGAACATGGATCTTCTCACCTGTGCAGTTCCGCCCTGGAGCCGCGTCTGTTGTGGTCAAACATCCAGACAGACACAGTAACAGCACACTCACCGAGCTGCACACTCGAGCCGTCATCCTCTCGAGCTGCGACACAGTGAGCTCTGCTGGAAGCGAGTCCGGAGGGCGGAGAGCTGCAGGAGTCCGAGGCGCGAGGCACACAAAACTAACATGAACAAAAAACCTGTTGCTGGATATAAAAAAATCATTTTTTAATATTTTTAAATTGCTAAAATGTTCAAAAAAGCAGCTATTATATAATATCCATTTCTGATGTCGCCAATAATTAGAGATGCACTGAAATTCCGGCTGCCGAAAATTAGTTCACCGCTCAGGATTCACTTTCACGTGGTGTGACGCTCTGCGTATTATCCCGCTCTATGCGTGTGTGTGCTCCGCTCAGTCGCTCACGGCCCATGTGAGTGCTCCA